TGTGTGTGTGTGTGTGTGTGTGTGTGTGTGCGCACTTGGATGGGTTAAATGCAGAGCACAAACTCCGAGTATGGGTCACCATACTTGGCCACATGTCACTTCACTTCAAAATGCTGTGACTTCTGCCTACCAAAGAAGCGTCTGCAGAACTCGCTTTGACAACTGTGAACACTGAACAAAAATACCTATAAAGCTTACAAAACAAAAACTAAACCATATCAGTGTTATGGGTTTTAAAATATACAGAAATATATTAAGTGGCTTGTGTTTTAGAAAATCAAATCTTTTTGTAATCTTGATAAAACACATATCGTTGGAAAGGTCTGACAGCCAAGGTTCCATTTTTCGTAACTGTTTTGTAATAGAAGTGATATTGTGACAGAAAATTATTGATTTGTGACAGAAAACTGTCAAAAATTATTGTTTACTCTTACAGTTAGCGTGATGCATTTCTGGTCTCAAATTGTAGCTTTTTACTTCTTACCCCCGAGACGACTCGTTCTTCCCGAGTCACATTAAAGATTCGTTCAAAATGAACGAATCGTTCAAGAACGACCCAACACTAGCAGCTTGCTGAACTGTCATTAATTCTTTGACCTGTGTTGTAACAGTTGTTGTTACAATGAGTGGAAGAGGCTAAACCGGAGGAAAGGCTCGCGCTAAAGCCAAGACTCGCTCTTCCAGAGCTGGACTGCAGTTCCCCGTCGGCCGTGTTCACAGGCTTCTCCGCAAAGGCAACTATGCCGAGCGCGTCGGTGCCGGTGCTCCGGTTTATTTGGCCGCTGTGCTCGAGTACCTCACCGCTGAGATTCTGGAGTTGGCTGGAAACGCCACTCAGGACAACAAGACCTCCCGTATCATCCCCCGTCACCTGCAGCTGGCGGTGCGCAACGACGAGGAGCTGAACAAGGTTCTGGGTGGCGTGACCATCGCTCAGGGCGGCGTGCTGCCCAACATTCAGGCCGTGCTGCTGCCCAAGAAGACCAAGAAACCCGCCAAGACCAAGTAAACTGAGTGAAGTTTCTCTTCTCTGTGCGAGAGTGATTTCCTTCATCTGATCACGAAATTGATATGAAAATCTGTAAAATTATTAACTGTTTAAAGTACAGTAGAAAAAAGCACAGTATAAAATAACGATAAATACATGTGGAGAGTGGTTCTCAAAGGGGTCATATGATGCTTTTTTAAAGATCATTATTTTGTGTATATTTCCACATAGTGAGGTAGATATGTGGGGGCGTGTTAGAACGAGCCGTTTTAGGGGGGCGTGGCAGAGTCTTAACTTCGATAAAGAATATCTCTTTGGTTTTGAGACTTTAGTCTTTGCAACTTCAGGGATCTTATCTATGCACAATCAGCTTGTAACACTCCAAAGAGAAAGGAAAACTTGAAATCGCATCATATGCCCCCTTTAATCTTTATTCCTCTATCCTGAAATTGTATTTAAAATAAAAAATGCAGTCCCAGCACACTATATTTTTCCACTTTTACGTTTGCTTTACAGTGCTAAAACAGTTTTAATGAAAATAACATGCCGTATGTTTTGTCTAGTAGTAGTGCACTTTTATTTAGGTTGTAATTAATTGTGTAGTCACAATGTATTCTGAAGATACTCCGCTTTATTGACATAGTTAAAAAGATTTATAATTACATAACGCATACAAACAAAATATTGGTGTTAAGAAATATCTGTATTTATTTCATTTTTTATTTTAGTTCCATAAGTCCAAATCTACTCATTCAGTAAGAATTAAAGGAACAATTATGGGTCTTTGTGCATACATTTATGAATTGTTTTTGTTTTTGTCGTTTCATGTAAACAAAGAGAAACAAAGGACAGGAACCATAAACTGTCGCCACTAGGGTTGGATGCCCTAGTGGATGCACCATATTGTAGTGAGTAAACTTTCTTGGTATTGCTGTTTCAAATATCCCACCATAATCTGTAGTCTGAGCCTGTCAAGGGATAATGGCAATGGCAGATACGTTACTAGTTAGTTTCTTTTTTTGTTTGCCAAATAACCCTGTGTATGTGTCCGGCCCCGCAACCCCCAACCCCCAGCCCCCAGAAAAAAGTTCAGGCTCAGGATTTTTTTTTTTTTGCTTTAACCCCTGATAATGGCAAGAACCAAGCAGACCGCCCGTAAGTCCACTGGAGGTAAAGCTCCGAGAAAAAAGCTGGCTACTAAAGCCACTCGTAAAAGCGCACCCGCCACCGGTGGCGTTAAGAAGCCTCATCGTTACAGGCCCGGAACCGTAGCTTTGAGGGAGATTCGCCGTTATCAGAAGTCCACTGAACTGCTGATTCGCAAACTGCCCTTCCAGCGTCTGGTGAGAGAAATCGCTCAAGATTTCAAGACGGATCTGCTTTCCAGAGCTCCGCTGTCATGGCGCTGCAGGAGGCTAGCGAGGCTTATTCGGTCGGTCTGTTTGAGGACACCAACCTGTGCGCCATCCACGCCAAGAGAGTCACCATCATGCCCAAAGACATCCAGCTGGCCCGCCGCATCCGCGGAGAGCGTGCTTAAATCTCCAATTACATCATCCATACAAACCCCAAAGGCTCTTTTAAGAGACACTTCACTGTTTCTCTGAAAGATGATTTTTTTTTTTAAGTGAATTGTTGTTTTCTGTACACTAACATGTAAATACTCTTTACATGGGAGTCTGAAGTAAAATTATTAAAATACTTTTTATCATTTAAAATTAGCTTAAGTGTATCTTGGAACAATAAAATTTAATTTAAATGTTTTTTTTTTCAAAGTATGTTAAGTTAAAGGGGTGTAATGTGGGGTTTGGGTTTTGTTTCATGTTCATGTTTTCATGGTCTTTTATTTTGGTGATTGGTTGTCCTAGTCATGTGTCTTGTTTCCCATTGGTTTGTTCATGTCATGTGACCCTCCTTGTCTGCTATAACTAGCCATCATGTTCCCATTGTGCCCTTGTTATGTATTTGATGTTGTATCCCACTATCGGTGAGTCTAGTCTGTTCATGCCACGTCAAGTTTGTTCAAGTCAAGTCAAGTCAAGTCAAGTCTGTTCATGTCAAGTCAAGTCTCAGATTATTGTTTGGATGTTTGGATCACACTGTAAATAAACTGCACTTGGGTTCTTCACTACGCTCGCCTTCAGTGGACTGAATCGTTACAGAATACACAACCATTAAAATGAACCCAGCAGTTTCACGCCTCCTCTGCCTTCGTCAAGGTGACAGGCCTATAGAGGATTACGTGAGTGATTTTTGTGAACTTTGTGATCAGCTGAACTTTAACGATGTTGCTCTCAAGGACACTTTCCATTTTGGTTTGGACAATAGCATTTCACAATTTATGCCATGCAATACCCCACACTGGTCACTTGAACAATACATTGATCATGCTCTGCTGTTGTGCGGCTCATCGTACACTGTGGGTTTTGTGGATAAGAAGCCTCTTCACATCCCGACCGTCATGTCTGGAGTTGTTCACGTCACG